AACCATCACGCACATTACAACTTTACACCTGTGTCAGCTTCAAAGAACACAATGCCACACAACCAGCTACAGAAGACCAATCTGGAAAGAACGTGTTAAAGGAGCTTCCCCAACATTTTGTGACCAGTTCCTTTCAGAAGTGAGAAAACTGTACTTCACAATCATATTCCAAACGGTGATCTGTTGACCAGCAACCTCAGCACCCACTTGACATCTTTTTAGGAATGCACGATCTCACCTGAGACCTACTGTTTGTGAATTTGCTCTATGATTGAAGAATATTAAATTCTGTTATAAAGGTCAAGAAAACAAATGGGATGGATGAAACTCGTAAGTGATGGTCACTAATGGTAAGTAAGCTAACAGCTCAGGAGGTAAAGGCAACACTCCGAGGCTCAATAGATATAGATAATAAGAGCTTATAAGCTTCTAAAACGAAGGCCAAGTTCTTAAGATATGTTAAAAATAGGTAAGTTAGTAAGCTGTCAGACATTCCAAAATAGAAAATATGATGGAACAAACAAGAGGTTCACTTGTAGAAAGGAAAGGATGGAATGACCAAGTCGTCATCGTGCCATCTCTGGACTGCCAGACACACCATCTCCGTATCAGCCACCCACCGAGGACACCCAGCCTGGTCTTAGTCCAGACCCGCAGGTGCCTGTCCCAAGAAACACAAAGAAAACCCAGGGAAACTGGCAAAGCTACAGCTGTGTGTAAGTGTACTTGTACCCTCTCTCGTCTGTAGAGCAAATATCATGATATCATGAGCTGAGGGGATTATTAGTATATGGAGCCCTTGCTCAAAATCAACTGTGGTCCTCATAACCACACCCTCAACGGGAAGGGTGATGTGAAAGCGAGAAGGTCGGGACATAGGAATATTGCATACCCGGGCCTCAGGTCGTAGGTCGTGTGGTCCTTCCAACCTTTGCACCTTAGCTGTGTTAACTTTCCCCATGGCTTTCCTCTTGCTTCTGGCTGTTTAAACTGATTTGATAAATACTGTGATTCAAACATTTAATTTGCTGAACCTATTCCATAACCCATGGGAAAGCCAGTGGTAGACTTGGAGGCTAACCTTTGCATCCAGGTGATTTCCCCCAAAATACCTACTGAATCAGAAATCTGCATTTTTAAAGACCCCAGGTGATTCATGAGCATATTAAAGTTTAAGAGCACTGAGCAAGGCTATCTGAAGAAAGAGAATGACAGAAATTTGGATCTCAGAACTATACTCTGAACACCATCCCGAATAAAAGGTCTCATATATGCCCTGTGTACCAACTCAGAGCCCCAAAAGAGAAAGAGAATGCTAAGAGACCCATTTTCAACAAGTATCATGTAAGATTTAGAGAAGCACTGCTGCCCTTGGTGATTCTCCTTTGAACCCCAGCTCTGTAAAGCTCCACACAGTTGGAGAAAACACTCAGAAAAATACAGCACAACATACCTTAACATTAACCCTGCAATCTCCTTCTTGCTAAGGGAATTAGGAAAATACCCTTTTTCTTCTATGCTAAGTTTCAAGAACATCTGTCCAAAGGACATAAGGGTCCCAGAAACAGAGAAAGGGTTATGACTGCCTTAAAAAGGTTGCAGGGACCTTAGAAAGAGCATCCAAGAACGGTTCAGCAGAATAGCCTGAGAAGCATCCTTAATGGACTATCCACTCTCCACCTCCTAGCAAGTTGCTCACCTGATCGGCTCCAGTCATTTTATGTATTTATTACATTTTATTGTATATTGCACTGTTCCCCACACATAGTAAGGGCTCAGTAAATGTTCCGAATTAATAGAAAACAATAATGAAAAATATCACCCCTTCTCTCCTGGATTCATTTAAAGCAAATCTAATTAATTTAATCTCTTGGTTTTGAGAAATTCCTGAGAATGAGGGCGTAATTCCACATCTCTAATTAGCATGGTTCATAACACTCTCTCATTCCGTATCTCAAACTTGGATTTTATATTTTCCATTATTAATCAATCCCAGTCTAATTTTCCACAACACTGTGAAACACATCAATCTATCCACTAAGAAACAATCCATTTCTAAATGTCACCAACAATTACGTATAAGTAATATGCTACACAGGAAAGATCAGCTATCATTTTGATGCTTTTCTAGGTCCAGATTTAAGACATCTTAGGAAAGTATTTAAAACAACTATAGAAGAACTGAAATAAAAACTGAGGAAATGATCACACACACACAAAGATCATAAACAAGATGTAAAACGAAAGTCTAAAAGTGTTGAGAATATTTACTCTAGTGAAGAATAAGATGAGAGAATATCAGGAAAAGAATATAAAAGTTCTAAAGATCATTTCTATAAAGAGTATGTAACCTATGGTTGCTGAAAGAGGAATATGTTTAAATTTCAAAAGAAAAGATTTAGGTTGGAAATCATAATCTCCCATTCCACAAGTGAATCCTTACAAAAAGAATAAGAAAACATACATAGGGAATGGCTCAACATATTCCCTTCCAAATGGTCTATCAAATCCTATTCAATCCATGCATTTAGCACAGCCAAGGACAGTTACAGTCCTCATAGGACATTAGACTTTTCAGCACAGGTTTTCAGACTTTTTACATGGGTTTTAAATACCAACTGTTGGAGAACTGACTTCATCAGCTCACATAGGAAAGAGGTAACATTATAGATTTGTGTGTCTTCTACATCTAACAGCATGAGCACAGACACCTGATAAGCTTTCAATAAATACTTGCTGAATTTCATTATTTCCACCCTCTGAGGCAAAAATCTTAATTGGAGAATAATCTAAACACTACCATCACCAGCACCAGTAGAAAAGTAGCTCTCCAAATTTCCAAGTGAATCCACTCACATGTTAAACAATGAGAACAACAAGAAAGAGTAATTGTCTTATTCATTACACAGGCTAAGAATGAATCTTCTGTTTGCAAACTTAATCCACTCCAACTAGTACTGTTAACTGCCCATAAAACCTGGTGCATTATCTTTGTTTCACAAACCTTATGCTTGATCTATGTTCTTGATAAAATGTGTTACAACTTATACGTATGTACTCTATTTCATTCTTTACTATATAAAATAGTTTATTATATGAAAATTAAAAGGCAAAATGCTTTTTTTTATAAGCAATAGTAGGAAAAAAATCACTTGAATTTCAGAATATCATACCCCAAACCTGGTTTGTTCACCAACGAACAGCCGTATTTCAATGAGAAATCCTTTAAAATGCATTAAACCCATCACCGTGCGTTACGTTTTGTGCAGCACGGGACCCAAATACAAGGCTGGTGCCCCATTTGGTTGAGTGGGTAGTGTTCTACTTGATAAATTTTTGTAAACTGCTATTCCCCCATTAGGGAGTTAGTCACTGGTTTTAACAAACTCCTTGAAGAGTTCATTTCAGTTATTCCTGCCTTGCTCAGTGTGAAACAATTTAATCTTATTGCTTTCCTCCTAAGGGGTAGAAAGAGGATATTCAAAGGAAAGCACCTGGAAAGGGAACATGCATGGTGAAATTAAGGAGCTCTCTGGGTAGGCCTGAAGAAAAGACACTTCTAAAGAGAGAGCCCAAAAATGGGGGGAGAAGGGGAGTAGAAGGAAGAGGTTCACAAAGGAAAGTGGGAAAACATAGCAAAGAAACTTAGCTTACTCAGAAACCACACTCACATCTCTAGTTATTTTTAAACATAGTGTAACTTGGCATGGCCCATTCTGATCCAGAACTTTTGTCTTACACTAATGAAATGAAAGTCTGCCTACTAACACCTATAAATAATTTCATAGATTATTACTTTATTTCAAATTAGTATTTCATAATTAAAGCAAAGTCAAATTTCTCTTTGCTTTGTAAATTATCTCTCTTACAGCCTTATATGGAAGTTTCAAAAGATGGAAATAACAATAGATGGTGATTTCAGATTCTTTTAAAAGATACTATATCAAATTCCAAGTCTATCATATATACACACTGGACAAGCTAGGAGCCCCTAGAAAGTGGTTTCAAACTACACATTCTACCACCACAACCCTTCAGATTCCCCTAGGAGGGCATGCCAGATCTTAGGACGGAGGCTGATGGGCAAGTACACTTTGAAAAAGCACTCCAGGAGACTGTGATACTCAACCCACCACCTCCTGCCCCTCCCGCCATTATCAGCTAATAATGTTTAACCACCCGCTACTGATGTACATTCTGCTATTTCTTCTACACCAAATGTTAACTAAGTGAAGTCATTAGAATAGAGCATCTGAATTCAAATGGCATTTATCCAGCTTTTAAGAGGTAAAAACATAGACATGAATGACAAATCAATTTAATTTCCTTTCATAAAATTTCATTTCAGGACTACATCACAAATTCTGAACTCAAAGCTACTCACAGTCACAGCCTTCCAATTAAAGTATTTAAGTCCGCTAAGATATTTCCATGAATCAAACTTTCACTACTAAGTAGCAGTACAAAAAAGAAAAAAAGTAAGTTCCTACATTCCTCACAATCCACTTACACTTAAGTAAGAGATAATTCAGATTTTTTAAGCAATTAAATAAAGACTATTATTTCAAGGTCAACCATAACTCTCCCATTGTACATTATGCCTCATAACCTAGAGTGTCCAGATTCAGAAAATTTTATTACTTATGGGGACTTTTAGTGAAACTAGTTAAAGAGGTAATTCTATTTCAAACTAACACTCCTGGTTTTCAGTGTTCATATTATTCATACTCCAGTCCACTGGAATGTATCTCACAATCCCCAAACTTCCTCAACTTTACTATTAGTCAATACTGGTTTAAGCAACCATAAAGCATATTAGGAAATACATGGACATCTCCCAAACTTTTAAAATCACTTGACAACATGTGTATATCAACAACCGTGAATTCCTTATAGTTGTCAAATCTATTCTAAATACATTTAGGCCCAAATACTAAAAAAAAAAACAAAAAAAAAAACTTAGAAAAAACTTCAAAAACAAACTGAGAAAACATACTTACCTTAATTGGAGCACTACTAAACTTAATTTTCCTATTTGCTGGGATGTCTTCTTCTTCTGGCAATCCAACAATTTCCGAGTATTCCATATCAGGTTGATAGTAATTGTTTTCATCACTCTCTTCCTGCTCATCCTGCTCAGTGCCTGTCTCTCCCCAGTCTGAATTATACCTGGATCTTACCCTATATACATTATAGTCACTGTGCATGTAAACATGGGAACTCTCAAAATGATCTGAATCTTCAGGTACTTCCTTTCCACACCTGGATCCAGAAGCATCAGCAGAGGTAAAATCACCACCTGCAAGGTCTTTCTTCTGATGCATTGCTGCCTCACTCCCAACTAAATTAGCTTCGGCGTCTTCCAAAGGTTCATTTTGTGGTGAAGGGATTTCAGACTCTGGCATTGCCTTATTATCAGCACAAGGTTCTTCAGGAATGTCTCTGTCAATCCCGACAGGGGTCTCTTGGTTAGATGTGGAGTCCTCGGCGTCCTTGCTCTGCTGTGTCTCCTCACTGGGCATTGGGGCTAGAGAGGTACTTTTCAAAGCCACTTCTGGTACTGGAGTTGTATGACCCTTCTGAGCATCCTCTGCATCATCACCGTGTTTGCTTGGAGGAGCCCAAGAATTAGAATCCTTAAGGTGACCAAAGGTGTCAAGATTTGTAACAGTAACAGATGGTAGATTCAGGGGGTAATGCCCAGTCACTGAGTATTCGTTGTTCTCTGCCTTCTCAGAAACAATGGCACTGGGGGAATCGGTGTTCTCAAATACTGCACTCAGTTGACTCACAGTTGGGGAGACAGCCTCTGTCCGGGAGCTAAGGCTGTCCAAGGAATCGGTACTGCCTCTGTTGGACTTCGAGCCACCCCATTCATCCTGAGGTTCACTCCCTCCAGCTTTCTCTTTCTTTGGGGAATAGCGGTTGTTTTGTCCTGATTCATGCACACTTCTCTCAAACATCTTCCGAGTTTCTGTGAACTTAGAATATGAAGGGCCATCATACATTGTGTCAAATCTACTGATTCGTTCTGAAACGGAGGACTCCAACTTAACAACTGAGCCATCTGTTTTTTCCAGAAATTCTTTGGGCCTCATTCTTCTCTGAGGAGACGAAGGTCCACCTTTCCCCCTTGTTTTGGCAATGACTGCAGCATTTTCATTGGGTTCCATACCCATCTGCATGAATAGATTTTTAATTCTGTTGACGTTGGAGCCATATTTCCTCCCCCTGCTCTGCTGGGAGCCCTCACCTTCTTTTGTTTTTTGTTCCCCATCTGCCTTGGGTTTGTCAAAGGTACTTTTCAGTGCCTGGAACTCAGTTCTGTAAGCATTCCTGTGAGGAGAGGCACTTCTGAGAGTGGTTCGTTCACCTGAAGACTCGGTTTTCAACATTTTTACTTCAGGGGTGAAAAGCCAATGTTCATAATGATCAGGAAAAAAAACAAAAAACAAAAAAACAAAAAACAAAAACAAAACACCTCTCTTCTCTAATCACCAGTATTTGGTCAAGAAAAAGTACCTCTCAAATGGCATACTGTATCAGTGATCCTCCCAACAGGTGTATTAGGAAATTATTCAGTCAAGAGTTACACAAAATGGCTTTTTCAAAGCAAGACTAGAGGTTCATCTGTAATAGAAAAGAATGAATTTCTAAATTCATTTACTTATTTGAACTTAAGTTTCGTCAATTAATAATACACTTTTCAAAGTGGCTTAGCCATATGTCAAACAGAAAAAAAAAATTACTTATTGGAATGGGAATTTAAAAGCCACGTTATACCTCTGATTGGTCTTCGATAACAAAAATGTTTCAAACACAATTTGGAGATCCCTAGAGAAATCACACACTAATACACAAGTCACACATAAGTACAAGTACACTACGTTAGCCTAAGTTTCTGTTGCTTTTGTGAATGACCTTCAAAGAAAACAGCAGTTCACAGATCTTTAAGACATCATCAAACTGTTCAGAAAAAATGAATTTCATTTGGGATGCTCCACATCAGGCAGAATTTATTCTTTCTGTATAAGCACAATTAAAAGTTTGGATTCTATGTTTCCAAAGTCCAAAAGATGCCTACAGAGGCTTATTTCACTCTCTCTAGTCCAATATTCTCATTTACAGCATCCCCAAAGCAACATTAGTACATTTTCAGACCAAAACAAGCAGAAGTAAGTTCTTAAATGAAAATAAGTTTCACTCTAAGTGAACTCACATCTAATACCTGGAAGTTTCCTAAGAGTGGATTATAGAGTGAGATGTAGACTATCATGGGAATAAATGCAGGAGAACGTGACGATCAGAAAGCAAATATCACATAAAACCTCTTTTCATAGTCCTGATTTGTTTACTCCCACTTGCCTCTAACTTACTACAAGCTCAAAACGCAACGCAATACATGCTTGCTGGTCTCCACTAGCCCACAGCTGGATTTTATATCAATATACCAGTAATCAAATACTTCAAGATCTGCTGAGGCGCAGACAATGTAGTTCTAAAGATTTTTCATTTTGTTTTTTGCTTTGTTTTGTCTTTTAATATTAGGCCGAGCCATATCACCCTCACGCACAATCAGCTGAGGAAGCACACACTTTGACTTAAACCGCCTCCGAACTCGGCTTCTGGCCCAGCACGCATGCATGGCCCATGCAGACAAACAAGAAAGGCTTGAGAGTGTGGTGCCTGTTTTTTGGTAAAGCATCGACAATCTCCTTGTCCCCTGACATTTGTTGAAGCCTTACACACCCTCCCCTCCCCCCCTACACAGCCACCCCACTCCCTCCCCCGGCCAATTCGAACCCGAGGGGGGCGGGGGCGGGGGAGATGGGGCCGCCGGGGGACTCAAAACCTGCCCTCACAAAAGACAAACATAAATAACACCAACTTGAGAGGCAGCCGGTTCCCAAGCCTGGTTCGGGACGCAATCCCTCGGCCCCGGGGCAGGGCCGGGAGAGCAGGTGACGCCAAGCGCTATGGCAGGAGGTCGCAGTCTAGCTTTGTGCCAAAAAGCACCTGAAGTCCTAACACATTGGCTGCGGCTCCCGGCGGCTGCCAGGCGGATCCCCGTGTAGCACGGGGAAAGCCGAGCTCCCTGGCCACATTAAAAAAAGAAAAAGAAAAAAAAAATTACAGGGTAATGATAATAAATCCCTTTGTTTTTCCTCCCAACGTGCCAGGAAACAATAGATCCCACTGATAATGCCTCCGATCCTCACCCTATCGCTCCCCAACCACAACCCACCCCCACCCCCAGCCTGCAACTCAGCCTTTGTACGTCCCGATTTTTTTCCTCTTCATCTCCACCCTCCCCAACTCCTCGCCCCGCGCACAGCCTCCCCCTTACCCGAGCGGGAGCCGCCGCCAGCGGGGAGGGTCGGGCGGCCGCGGCTCCCACCCCCCCCTTCCTCAGAGGCGCCCCCCGCCCCACGGTGGCCGCGGCTCTCTCCGCGCCGGCCGGCTCGGCGCCCCTCCACCCGCCGCTCACGGCGCAGCGCGGAGGGCGGCTGCGGCGGCCGCTTCCACTCGCGCAGCGGCCCCCACGCGCGCCCAGCCCGCGGCGGGCGGCCCCGGGAGGCGCGCGGCGCTGCCCAACGCCATTGCGGGCGGGCGGCGGCCCGGGCCGCGACACGCTCACACACGCGGGCCGGCCTGGGGCGGGGGGTCCCGGCGCGGAAGGGGCTTGGCCCACGTGCCGTTACCCGCGCCGGGCCGATTGGGCCGCCCGGGAGCCGGGGTGTAGTGCGGGAAGAGGCCGCGGGGATGAGGAAGGCCCAGGGTAACAGGTGCCTCACCTCGGCTGATGGGATTAACTCTAGGGCCGCAGAGAGAGGAAGCCCGGCAGCAAAATCCCAGGAGAGGGAGAGAGGGAGCCTCTGGCGGCCAACGGAGGGCGAAAAGCACCGGCCCGAGGCCGGGCCGCCCCACCCCCTCGGCCGTGGGCAAGGGGCCTCCCCGGCCTGGGGCAAGGCCTGCCCTTCTGGGCCCCGGCCGCCTTGCTGCTCCGGGGGTTGGTTGGGCGGAAACTGGGATATCGGTCGGCTCACTGCTGGGCCCCCACAAAGTCTGCAGTGAACTTCATGACCCGAGGGCATCTAAAACCCCAGGCCACTCTCTAGGCCCGGAAGGCCAACACACAGGCCACTGTGCCCCGCCTAACACCCACCTTGACCTCAAGTCTCCACTGTTAAACGGAAAAGGATGAGGAGGTCTTCTGACTTTCGCGTCCGGATGGAGTTTTTCAGACCCCCCCACCCTCCCGCTTTTATCACTGCTCAATCCCCCTTGCTCCCCTCCCCAAAAAGACACCAGAAGTGTTACAGCCTTGCGGCAAAATATAAAATTGATCATGACAGTCAGTGTAGACCTTTAAACCAATCCTCCCAAAGACTCCATAAATGACTAAAGGATAATTTTTCAAGAAGCGAAAACCATAACTCTCATAGAAATATAAAATAAAAATGTGTCAAATATCATTTGACTCATTAATTAGGGAGCGAATCGCAAAATGTTACAACCCATTCCAACAAGGATGTGAAAAGCAGACCTTATGGATAATCAGTAAAGAGGCAAAACTGGTTAATATTCTATAAGGCGCAAAAATGAAATGTTTTGAATTATCTGTTCTACAGGGAAGTAAGTAATGGTATCTCTAAAAAACAAAGTAATTTTGCATTTCTATAGATAAGAACATTTACATTACCTTTAATTTCTACAGCCTATGAAATAGTAAAATGGCCTTGTCAAAGGTCAAGGTGCAGACTCCTGTAGAACAAAAAAAAACCAGAGTCCTGTAGGTAACATCCAGCCTTCCACTGAAAGGACGCCCAGTGATATTTGCCCATTTCAAAGTCTTAAACAAGTTTTCCCAACAGAACTATTATTATCTGCATTTCCCAGATGGGAAAACTGAGGTTTAGGTTTTGTAACTTACCCGTAGCGTTATCAACTAGTAAATGATTGTAGCTGGATATGAACTCCAGCAAGTCTGTATACAGAATCTATACTCTAGGAGCAAAATCTCTTCTCACTTAATTTCAAAAGGCCTTTGTAGCTAAGTGTCATTTATTTTGAACGGTGAAGTTTTTTCTTCAAGCTCACCAAATTCTGGGTGCTTTCCCAAGAAATTGGCATTCTCTGTCTACAAAGTGGATGTCACTTCTATAAGCATAAACAGATGTAGCAGGCAATGTGAGGGGGCTGTGGTTCCAGTCTCCAGTTTTGGAAAGAACATTTGTGCTGTCTGGGATAATTTAGTGGAAAAGTTCCTGTCATTTATTTGCAGTATGGAAACCATGTTTTTTAGGAGAATAACCTAAATAAATGCAAGAACCTAATCACTGAGTTCTGTCTGTAGAAGAGGGGGCAGAGTTGGCAATAAAATCAGTCTTACACCTCTTTGCAAAAAGATGATTCATACAGAAAAGCAACCTAAAGAACTTGGTTGCTTTGGGTTTCTTTTTTTTTTTTTTTTTATGTGAACCTTCTGGATAAATTCATACTGAAGGAATGAATGGCAGAGTTTTTAAAACATAATGCTGATAATTTTAAGATTTCTTGATTGCCCACAATCTACTTTCCAGTTCTACCACTCATCCGTTTCAAGGGTCTACTAGACCAGTACTAATCCAATACATGTGGCTATTTAAATTACTTAGAATTAGGGGCGCCTGGGTGGCTCAGTCGTTAAGCGTCTGTCTTCGGCTCAGGTCATGATCCCAAGGGTCCTGGGACGGAGCCCCACATCGAGCCCACATCGAGCCCCGACTCGGGCTTCCTGCTCAGCAGGAGGCCTGTTTCCCCTTCTCCCACTCCCCCTGCTTGTGTTCCCTCTCTCGCTGTGTCTCTCTCTGTCAAATAAATAAATAAAATCTTTTATTTATTTATTTGACAGAGAGAGAGAGAGAGAGCACATGAGATGGGGGAGGGTCAGAGGGAGAAGCAGACTCCCTGCTGAGCAGGGAGCCCGATGCGAGACTCGATCCCGGCACTCCAGGATCATGACCTGAGCTGAAGGCAATTGCCTAACCAACTGAGCCACCCAGGTGCCCAATAAATAAAATCTTTAAAAAAAAATTAAAATAAAATAAATAAATTACTTAGAATTAAATACAATTAAAAATTCAGTTCCTTTAGTCCCACAAGCCACATTTGAAGGACTCAGTAGTTAGTGGCTACCCTATTAGTGGCTACCCTATTAGTTAGTCAGTGTAGATACAGAACATTTCCATCACAGAAATTGCTTTTGGACAGTGCTATCCTAGACGACATTTGCATTTCTATAAATTAAAAAAAGTATATTGACTTTATAAGGGTTAAAACTTAGTTCAATAGATCATTAATGTATTGAGAATACAAGGTCATAAGTTTTGCATGTTCCAGTCGGAAAGCGGCT